TTTAATATTTCAATGAGTGCTGTAATGTATTCATAGTTGACAGGTCAATAAAATAGTACTATACAAAATAAGCAATTAGGCGTTGTATACAAACAAATAAAATATTGTTATTCCAACATGCAAAAGCGGGATTAAGTATGCGCAAAATCACCACAAAATCTTTTTAAATTTTATAAAATAAAGGATAGCACCTTTGTGAAGCCTTTTTTCCAGAAACTAACTAAAAACATAATAATTACATAATTGCACGTTTTTAAAAAAAATGAATTCAGGCAATACAAAATTTTAAGAATATGAAAGAATATAAGCTTGTATTATGTTTATCCTACTTAAAACATTATCAGGATCAAAAACTCATTTTGTTACCCAAATACATTTGTATCTACGACATTATGGCTCTATCTCAATCTATGAAAGTTGTTTTCTATTTTCTGTACCTCAGGTTTATATATAAAAATGTATTAATCGAGTGTTGAGCAAACTAGGTAAAAAATATCCAACTTACAAATTGACAAATCCTACTTTTTAAATGGTTACAACAACATTTCGGTCCCATTCTTTTATAAAATGTGTCACTTGCTGAAATGTTGAAATTTATAAAGAGCCGTTTTTCAGCACATTGTGAACATTACACATGTATACTGCATGTAAATTTTTTGTGTGTTGTTTTTTTTTTGTAGTTGTTGTTTTCTGCCGAAAATAATATCTGCATAATTTATTTTTTAGATTCAATTATAACTGCATTAAGGTATACGATGGATAACCAATAATACTAAAATGTCATCTTAAACTTAGAAGTGTATACTTTATCACATTCTTAACAAAAATGCAGAAAACAACAAATGTTTACCATCTTGTTTAAAAATAAGTGGCGATTTAATTTGAATTTTAAAGTTAAAGTCAAAAACAACAACAACAACAATAACAACACCATATTTTCATCGAGTCATAAAATGTCTGAAACCGGGAGATTGCTACGTGTGCTTGCTATACCATGGCAGCTCTCGAAAATTTTGGAATTCAGTCACAGTTTTGAGAAAATTCTACAAGAAGATTATCACATCATTTGATATACATTAGAATTCCGGGTACCCTCCAATAATTTTCCAGGATATCTTAAAGTTTCAGCAAAGTTATCTATAAAATATTACTTGTAATAAATCGAGTAATATTTTCTTTGACCATATATAAAAGTCACGTGGGTTGGCTACATAGTAGAGGTGTTAAAATATAATTGTAATACACCCTTTGTTGGCCATTGAAATAGTATTTAATGTATAAAGAACTTTCAAAAATGGCTATTATTCAGAGCGGGCGCTATGGTGCAGTGGTAACACTGTCTGCCTACAAATCAAGGGGTCGTGAGTTCGATCCCCCGCTACTCCACTGAATGAATGAATGACTACAAGACTGACAAAACCAGGGCATCGACACATAATGGCGTCAACGATAGATACAAGAGAAGATCTTAACGGAACAGGAAACAAATACCGAAAGTACAAGACAGAAGACGACGACCGATAACAGAAGGAAGAACGGAGTTAAGAACTGACAACAAACGAACAGAGACGTCAATCGATAACAGGAGACAAGAGACAAGGACGGATAACAGAATAACAAAGACATGGACCGATAACAGAAAAACTGACTATATAAGCGAACAGAGACGAGGACCGCTAACAGAAGAACAGGACAGGGACCGATAACAGAAGAACATTACAACAAGCGAACAGAGACAGGGATCAGTAACAGAAGAACTGACACCAAGACATCGGAGACGAGGATTGATAACAGTGACAGGGACCGATGAGATAACAGAAGAACTGACTATAAGCGAACAGAGACACGGTTCAGTGACAGAAAAATGACAACAAGACAACGAAGACGAGGATTGATAACAGAAGAACAGATACAGGGACCGATAACAGAAGACCTGACTATAAGTAAACAGAGACGGGGACCGCTAACAGAAGAACAGGACAGGGACCGATAACAGAAGAACTGACAACAAGCGCACAGAGACAGGAACCGATAACAGAAGAACTGACAACAAATGAACAGAGACAGGGATCACTAACAGAAGAACTGACAACAAGACAACGGAGACAAGGATTTGTATCAGAAAAATAGAGAAGAGGTCCGATAACACAGATTGGAACTGATATCAGACCATCTTACAACAAAAGAACTGAGTCCAGGACCGATTACAGAAGGACGATGATCACGACCAACAACAGAAGAACTCAAAACATGAGAATTGCAACGAGGACCGATAACAGAAGAACGAAGACGACGGCAGATAACAGGAAAACGAACACCAACACTCAAGAAAGGTGCCTTTAATAGGAATCTGAGTATAGCCACGCTATATACATAGAGTGCCAGATAAAATACATGAAAGCTATCTAGCAGATAGGGCAGGGAAGAGTGTAGTGTTCGTAAACCCTTAATATAGGTCTATTATGTTTAAATGCCTTAAAATTTTCAGTACTATCTTTAATATTAATTCTATATTACTACTATATCAGCCTGTAAAAATGTCCGCCATCTTGGATTTTTCGGCAATATTGGATTGTTTTTTTAATTCTGTTTTGGTGTCTAATTTGTTTTTACCTGAACATGCTTGTGACAAATTTCAGGCTTTTCCATTCCTTAAAAGTTCTATTTGATATATCATCCCTTTTTGATAATGAAATTTGGCGGCCATTTTAGTGGTCATTTTAAAGCTCACACAACGCACGGTGATAGGCCTCTCTTGTGATTGATATATGATATAAAACACGGTGGTAGAGCCAAGGGAACACAGTGGAGCTCACACAACCCACGATGATATGCTTTTCTAGTGATTCTTATCTGATATAAAACACGGTGGTTTTGCCAAAGGAATACAGTTCAGCTCACACAACCCACTTTGATAGACCTTTCTAATTATTCAACACGGAAGCATAGCCAAGGGAACACAGTAAAGCTCCCGCAACCCACGGTGATAGGCCTTTTTAGTGATTCTTATCTGGTGTAAATCACGGTGATATAGCCAAGGGAAGACTGTAAAGCTCACACAACCCACGGTGATAGGCCTTTCTTGTGATTCTTATATGATATAAAACACGGTGGTAGAGCCAAGGGAATACAGTAAACTCACACAACCCACGGTGACATACCCTTTAGAGGGCTTTTATCGGACAGAAAGCATGCTGATAAAAGTAAACATCACACTACCCGCCGTGATAGGCATTTTAATGGGTTCAGTTCACAAGTTCACTAGCAGGGATTGTCTCACGGAATGCATTGAAGCACACACAACCAACAGCCTTTGAGATTGACCTATTAGATAAGTCTATCATCTTGGGTTGTGTGAGCTTTACTTATTCCTCAAGGCTATCACTGTGCTTTGAGATTAGACCTATTAGATAAGGCTATCGCCCTGGGTTGTGTGAGCTTTACTTATTCCTCAAGGCTATCACTGTGCTTTGAGACTAGACCTATTACATAAGGCTATCGCCCTGGGTTGTGTGAGCTTTATTTATTCCTCAAGGCTATCACTGTGCTTTAAGATTAGACCTATTAGATTAGGCTATCGCCTGGGTTGTGTGAGCTTTACTTATTCCTCAAGGCTATCCCTGTGCTTTGAGATTAGACCTATTAGATATAAGGCTATCGTCCTGGTTGTGTGAGCTTTACTTATTCCTCAAGGCTATCACTGTGCTTCGAGATTAGACCTATTAGATAAGGCTATCAACCCTGGGTTGTGTGAGCTTTACTTATTCCTCAAGGCTATCACTGTGCTTTGAGATTAGACCTATTAGATAAGGCTATCATCCTGGGTTGTGTGAGCTTTACTTATTCCTCAAGGCTAACTTAGTGCTTTGAGATTAGACCTATTACATAAGGCTAATTGCCCTGGGTTGTGTGAGCTTCACTTATTCCTCAAGACTATCACTGGTGCTTTGAGATTAGACCTATTAGATAAGGCTATCGCCCTGGGTTGTGTGAGCTTCACTTATTCCTCAAGGCTATCACTGTGCTTTGAGATTAGACCTATTAGATAAGGCTATCGCCCTGGGTTGTGTGAGCTTCACTTATTCCTCAAGGCTATCACTGTGCTTTTGAGATTAGACCTATTAGATAAGGCTATCGGCCCTGGGTTGTGTGAGCTTCACTTATTCTCAAGGCTATCACTGTGCTTTGAGATTAGACCTATTAGATAAGGCTATCGCCCTGGGTTGTGTGAGCTTCACTTATTCCTCAAGGCTATCACTGTGCTTTGAGATTAGACCTATTAGATAAGGCTATTGCCCTGGGTTGTGTGAGCTTCACTTATTCCTCAAGGCTATCACTGTGCTTTGAGATTAGACCTATTAGATAAGGCTATCGCCCTGGGTTGTGTGAGCTTCACTTATTCCTCAAGGCTATCACTGTGCTTTGAGATTAGACCTATTAGATAAGGCTATCGCCCTGGGTTGTGTGAGCTTCACCTATTCCTCAAGGCTATCACTGTGCTTTGAAAATAGACCTATTAGATGAGCTTGAATGTATTCCTTGAGGACATCACTGTGCTTTATTTGAGATAAGAACTACATATGTATTAGATAGGGCTATTGCCAAGGTTTGTCTGGGTTTTACTGTATAGTTTCAACAATATTTATTTGTTAAGATGTTTGTAGCGATCAGACACAATGTATTTCAGCAGTTTACCTCTTAATATATCACTTAAAAAGTGTATATAATTATTGAAAATGGTCTAACCTGTAAGTTGTTGAGTTCAAAGTATATAAAAAAGAATATGAAAAATCAAATAAAATACAGCTTTTTTTCTGTTGAATTTTAATATCTTAATTGAAACTGACAAAAAATGAACTGTATATTTGGAAAACAAGTATCTCAACCATATTACTTTGCCTTAAAAATTCACAATATCATCAAGCTCATTCACAAGTCCTTTCTTCATAGTGAAAAGAAATGCTTAAACATTAAAAAAAAACCAAAAAAATCATTGCATTCCATTTCAAGACTTTCTTTAATTAATCAGAGATCATATAAATAAAACAATGTAAAAAGTTGGTCTAATTTTCAGACATCAAAATAACGAAAGATATAATTAATATCACAAGTTTGAATTCACTTAACAAAGCACGGTATCCGTTTATTTTAACGATAATCTTATTGTTTTTTCTATTGCTAAAGTTTTTTTCCGATGGCTATATGCTAAGACTCTTCATAATTTTCTGTCTTCATGTCGTTCAGTCCAAGATCTTCATTTTGTTCCACTGTCCTGTCATAATTAACAACGTCCATGTTCGGGTCATCATCTGGTGCGTATACATTCTGTAAATAAATTCATCATCATACTATAGTGGGTACCTAAAGAGACTTCAGTGAACAGGTTTTATAGTACTGCTAGACCTGTCGCACAACGTCAAAATAAAAGCGACATATAAAGTTATGGAAGCCAGAACTATATAGTGGGTATCATTTTGGTATTACATAAAATTCAAAATAACACTTGATCTATTTCTGACAGCTTGTTCATAAATATTAAAGAAATACGCCTTTATTTTAGAAATTCCGCTATGAAAATTCTGATGACATTTTGGATTCCAAGGGATTTTAATACCAAAGTACATTATTCTTAAATTTGGCAATTACCAATACAGAGCCTGGTCAGGCTGCAGGAAAGCAGACTAAAGTGGTTGTTAAATGGTTAATGGTAATAAAGGCAGTCTGTCTTGTTTTTAATGTTGAAATATATAGATCAATTTCATAAAATATTCTATTCATAATTAACTAACTCTTAATTAATAAACTCTATTATGTTGTTATTTATCTTTCTTAAGGTAGGCCATGGGTAATGCATTACTTCAACTTTAAAGTGTACTCAAATAGGCTAGAATCACTTGTCAACTACATTGAAATTGAGGGTTGTGGATTCAAACCCCAGAAGGGGCAACTTATTTTGCTTTGTTTTTTTTTTTCTTTTTAATATCATTTATGTATCTTTCAGATCACTTGCGGAAGAAAAAAGTGTTTGATTTTAATTATATAATTATTGTAGGTATTTATTTGCTAAACAATGCCGAATTTAATAGCAATTAGGAAGCCAGATATTCAGTTACATAAGCCAGTTATATATATATAACAGCCCCTTTTTGTGGTAAATTTTAGGAATATTTTGAATAAGGCTTTTCATATTCGGAAATGGTCAAATAAGTGTTTAAAGTGGGTGGGGTAGGGTAACATTTTTAAACATATGAAAAACATTTTGTTTAGAAACAGTCATTTTGCTTGTGAATTTGTTACCTGAATGTTATTATTTGTTTTTTTAAATGAGCAATAGGAAAACATTTTTGGTAATGATGATATTATAGATTATTTAGAGTTTCCTCATTTTTGAAAAAAAAGCCCTCTTAATATATATGCAAAGTTTTAGTTCAGAAATATCTCCATAACTCATAAACCACATGGTAATTTTATTTAAATTTTGCATACAGGTGACCTTTAAGACATACAACTGTCCAATGTTGTCAATTTTACAGTTCCTTATAGTGCCCATTACCCATGGTCTACCTTAACTCATAAGTTCTTATTCCATCAAAATACAAATTTAAATTATTTTTTTTATCTGTGTATTAAAGTTTTTTATTATGAAAGTGTGTCCATTTGACCCTTGAAATGACTCTTTGACACTTCAACTTTCATGAAAGCCTGATTTGACCCTCAGGATTGTAATTAGAGGGTCGAGGGTCAAATTTTGTTAAATCATGGGAAGTTGGCCTTGTAACTGGCAAAACTTAGTCTGTACTGGTCCAAATGACTCAGGATTCTATGGCTAGCAGAACCCCTGAATTAATATTGATAAGTTTATACCTGTAGATAGCTGTTCCCAGTAGGATCATCTAGTATTATATGTACATCCAAATTTTCACCAGATTTTATCTGAAATTTATATTAATCATATATTAATTTTAAACAGATTTTTCACAATTGTTTGTAATTATCATGTTAATGAAACATTACGAATAAAGCACTGTTCAAACTAACAAAAAAAATTGAAATTATATCTTTTTTGTAGAAAATTCTCTTAAACAAAACAAAAAGTCATATTCTTGATATTGAAAGTATATCTAAGATGAATTCTAGGAACTGGAAAAGTCCATGTTACTTTAAGGGGTTTCAGTGTTAAAACAGTCTGGTCTGTCCTGATGTGCAGACTGGCCTTGCTTTATATTGTTTCCATAAGTCTGAAATCATTGCCACCAAAAATTTTAACTTCCTCAGATTGTCAATGCAAGCAGTGTTGTTAAATTATCAATATATTAGATAAAACATGCAGTGAAGCAGAAATTCTATTTATAGACTTAATACATTTATTCTATATCCAATTACCTTTTCCAGTTTATCACAAAATTCTGATATTTTGGACAATTTATCCCCTTGTGTACTATCTCCCATAAAGAATGGATTAGTCTTCCTTAACTGAAAAAAATAAAAGCAATGTGAATGTTACACTGACTTTAATTTGTTTTTGGTAAGAGACAAAAGGCAGTGCACAGCTCTGTAATTGTGTTTTGATTTAATAGATAAATTATAACATAGAACGGCAGTTATATCCCTTATTAAAAGACTTTATTTATAATAAAAAATACTCCATTTCATTTTGTTATGCGAACATTAAGAAAAGAGTATGTTACATCCCTTCTTAAGTTCAAACATTGAAAAGTAAGTCAATAAGACCTTCTTCACATCAAATCAATAAAAATACTCTACAGGTTATGGAAACAAGACTATAAATACAAAGCAAATTTAGTAGAAGATATATAGTAGAAGAAATTTAAAACTGGAATTCGGGCTAGTAAATTCAAAATCTTAAATTCATTGACTGTAAATAATGCAGTAAAACATAACTTCATCATTCTAAAAGATATTTTATAATAGTTTTACCTCATTTATAATATCATCAACAAGGCCTTCTACAGTTGTAAACTTGCCGGTAGTTGAGGTCATACTTGTACTAAAATCTAACTCTGGTATCTCCACTCGGCACATATCACTCTGTAAAACAATCATTCATGTTTGTGTAAAGGAGAGGACTACCATGAAATATTGTAGCTCTCAGTCCTATTGTTAATGTGAGGGGTTCTGATATGAAAATGCTAAAATAAGCTAACATTATAAAGTGTGGTCCACTTGCAAACAGACACATGTAATCAAATACATTGAGGACTTTAAAAAGAGCCTTTACTGAGTTTTTTTGACATGATGGGACTTGAAATAAAATTTGGAGATGAATGTTCCATTTGGTATAGGTCTAGACAACTATTTTGTGTGCAAAGTTTCAAATCATTCGCTCACTCCGTTTTTATCAGGGTAAGTATTCTTATTTTATGAAATACCCAAATTGTTAAAGTGTTGCAACACTTTTCACCCAATTCCGGCTTAAAATAGTACAAAAATACAATTTGAAATTTATTTCTCAGTATGTGTATATTTCTTAAATATTTTTTGTCTATCATTCTGTTTAAGTGCCCTGGCTGATCTATGTAAAAAAATAAAATTTCATGTTTTTAGGCTTTTGTACCTCAGTGGAGCTTCATTAATCTTATCAAACTCAGAAGACCCACAAGGGTGAAAGTTAATGAAACTATTATGTATATGGCAAATATCTTACAAATCATGCTAGAAATGAAAACCCAATGAGGAATAATAAGAATAATGGAAGAACAGAAAAGATGGCTGACATGTGATTATGTTTTCTCCACTCTATCCATAGAATACTTGCTCCTTTCAACCTGTTTATATTTATTCTAGTAAATAAACAAATATTTCTCCTATTGATGTTTTCACAACAACTTTGAAATTTGCATTATCCTTACAACTGTAACTATATGTGTATGTTAAGATACTGACCTTTATCAAATTATATTACATGTATGAATATATGGAAAGAACCCTAAGTTCATTTCCATATTGTAAATAAAACTGTTCTGTCCTAATAATTAAACCAGGTTTACCTTAAGGACATCTCTAGTTAAGTCACTAGGGTCAGTCAGCTTGAGGGTAATTCTACGGCCCTGGGGTTCAATACCTGCCCCACCCTTCACCTCACTGTCACGGAGTCCACATGCATCACATGTAATGGCCATCAACACCACCTCTTTAAAATGTGGTATGTCTACATCTAGGTTAAGGGGTCATTATCAACAACATTAAACTTTCATCATTTTCAAGAAATAACCTTTACAAATATCAAATTGTTAAAGATGACTCAAACATTAAACATACTTAACTTTTGGCTACATCAGGACTACTTTCTTCAATTTTTATACTAGATTCTCTAATCAAAACATTTGGAAAAATTTTTGTATAAGGCCCTTTTCATCCATCACTTCAGGCACAAGTGGACTGCCAAATACAACCACAAATGTTCAGACAACTTGCTAAATCATTTTTTAACATGACAGAATTCAAAAGCCCTCACAGGATTTGTACTCAGGGCAGTATGGCACAAGTGATGCCACAAAAGAACCCTTTTGCCTAATTGGCAATTTTACGAAATATAATACATGTAATTGTTTAGCATAGTTTATACGAATTTATTTAAGTTTGATTGTGTTGGAAGCTATATGCTTATTGTAAGACTCTCAAATCCGTTCCTGGAACTAACCAATTCTTAGCTGGGACATACGATATCGTATGTCCCAGTTCTTAGCAATTAGTGTAAAGTTTCTTGCTGAGTAAAAAACGGCTTGCCCCTGATGGGGATTGAACCTGTTTACAGAAAAGGATACCAACAAGCTTCATGTTACATTGACAAGGAGCCGTACAACCTGGACAATTACTCATAAACTGTAACACCTATAGAAACAAATATATATACATATGAGATAAACAAAATAGTCATACGAGATAAACAAAATAGTCAGACTACAGAGAAAAAATAGATCACATATTTGAATATTTTAACTAGAATCTTTTAATAAGCTCCATTTAAACAGAATTTTAGCAATCTGCTAAAGAAATATTCACTACACAAATTAGACTAAATTAAGCAACAGTACTGAATAGATATCAATAAATAAATTGCTATTTTAGTTAGACATTTACGTTTTTTGTTTGCTTGTTTTTTCTCTCCATTAAATTTTTCCTCTTCTTGATTTTTCTTTCATTTTTAAGTATAGGAGAAATAAATCCTAAACAATCACAGACTCATTGAGACAATTTGGTGACTAAATTTGTAAAAGTTATATAATTTCCAGGACGTGGGAAATTTAACTTATGAAACATGTTAAATCTACATGTACCTCATCCTTGGCATTAAACTTTTCTTCTGGCTTTTCCACAGTTTCTTCCTCTTCCTGAAATATATACAATAATTATAAATATAATGAAGGGCTCAAGAAGTCACAGCTTTAAGATGGCATTCTCCTCAAAATTACTGATTAATTCTTGAGTTCAGCACTGGCGAGTAGGTTTTTTCCTTATCAAACCAAGAGCCGGTTGGACCGGGTGATGCTCCCCGACTAGGTTTTGGACACAGAAAAGTATATCTTTTGAAGTTTCAGAGTTATGTCCCAGACAAAGTTCAAAGTGTGATAATTCGAAACCTAGGCAAGGCAGAGTTACTGTTCTTTGCGCTGCACTTCTACTCAATTAGATTTATCTACCGACTTGCCATGACAAGTTGTCTCAATATGGTGATCATTTCTGTGAACTAGTTGTAAAATCCGACTTCAAATAACGAAGTTAAGGGCCGGACACAATTTTGCCGCAAGGTCATGCTGTGACCTTGACCTTCAAGGTAGCGACCCAAATGTTGCCTGCAACACAGTCTCAATATGGTGATCATTTCTGTGAAATAGTTGTTATATCTGACTTCAAATAACGAAGTTAAGGGCAAGACATGATTTTGCTGCAAGGTCATGCTGTGTCCTTGACCTTCAAGGTAGCGACAAAAATGGTGAGCGTGACACATTGTCTCAATTTGGTGATCATTTCTGTGAAATAGTTGTAAAATCAGACTTCAAATAATGAAGTTATGGGCCAGACACAATTTTGCTGCAAGGTCATGCTGTGAACTTGACCTTCAAGGTAGCGACCAAAATGGTTGCGCCTGACACATTGTCTCAATATGGTGATCATTTCTGTGAAATAGTTGTAAAAGCCGACTTCAAATAATGAAGTTATGGGCCAGACACGATTTTGCTGCAAGGTCATGCTGTAACCTTGACCTTCAAGGTAGCGACCAAAATGGTGCGCGTGGCACATTGTCCCAATATGGTGATCAGTTCTGTGAAATAGTTGTAAAATCCGACTTCAAATAACTAAGTTATGGACCGGACACGATTTTGCTGCAAGGTCATGCTGTGAACTTGACCTTCAAGGTAGCGACCAAAATGGTGCGCGTGGCACATTGTCCCAATATGGTGATCAGTTCTGTGAAATAGTTGTAAAATCCGACTTCAAATAACTAAGTTATGGACCGGACACGATTTTGCTGCAAGGTCATGCTGTGAACTTGACCTTCAAGGTAGCCATCCAAATGTTGCCAGCAACACGTCCTCTCAATATGGTGATCAGTTCTGTGAAATAGTTGTAAAATTTGACTTCAAATAACAAAGTTATGGGCCGGACACGATTTTGCTGCAAGGTCATGCTGTGACCTTGACCTTTAAGGTAGCAACATTTCCCAAATGTTGCCCATGACATGTCATCTCAATATGGTGATCATTTTTGTGTAATAGTTGTAAAATCCGACTTCAAATAACGAAGTAATGGGCCGGACACGATTTTGCTGCAAGGTCATGCTGTGACCTTGACCTTCAAGGTAGCGACCCAAATGTTATGCGTGACATGTCATCTCAATATGGTGATCATTTTTGTGAAATAGTTATTAATTAAATCCAACTTTAAATAACAAGGTTATGGGACGGACACAAATTTGGGATGTATGGACGTACCTAAAAAATGGTACTTATGTGACTTTTCCTTTGATCTTTTTGGCCATTTTTAGTCACACAAATTCGGGAAGCATAAAAACCAGAAAGAGGGCCTTATTAGGGGAGGGGCATTTTATTGGAATTTTACTGTAAATCCTAAAAAAAATAATACAAACACTGCAATAATTACTAGTATTCTACCATGTCTAATTATATAGCAAACACTTAAATAATCAGTGCTTCTCCTTGATTACGATAGAGTCACTTTAGTGCAGTAATAGGTATTCTTGCATCTCAGACAGGATTATCTACCGTTTACACCGGTGCTAGAAAACTCCGTCTTACACCCCCCATGTAAGACAAGTCGCGTGGTTTAAATGACGTCATTGACGCGCGCCTTTTATGAATGAATCGCGTTCTTAGGATGACGTCATTTGTCCGTTATGAATGAAGTTGTAAGTTCATACGCTACTACAGTCCAACCCCGTTTATTCGAAGTGTCTGGGACTGAACATTTACTTCGAATAATCGATGGGTTCGAATAATCGAATTCGGAATATTGTGAAAGACGAAAACTACTCCACTTTGACCAATCGTAGCAAAACTACAGTTTACAACACACTTACTTCCTGTAATCAATTGAGAAAAATAAATATTAAAGAAAAGATGCGTAAAAATTATTTTATTGACATTGAACACATAAATACTTTCATTTTATTCTACATTATGTATCGTTTCATTTCGAGGAAAAGCCTTGATAATGTCCGTGTTGTCACTACGGTATTTACAGCTAAACTATGGTATTTTAGATTAGGAAAAAGGCTCTCATGTAGCGTAACAATTAATGAAAAAAATGTTTTGGATGTTTTGACAAATTTACATATACGGTATGTACGAAAATTATTGCTGTCATCTTCAAGCAATAACAGCCACAAAATCGGACAAGGTGCATTGCTTTTCATTTTCGGTAATTAAAGTTGATTAAAGAACTTACAAGAGTTATTATCATGCTTGTCTAAATACATGCATGACTGTTGATATTTTTCACAAGTCGACCGGTCAGGGAGTGGATCTGCGCCAATTAGTCTGGCTTCGAATAATAATTAGGCTGGCTTCGAATAATAGGTGTGAAATTCTTTCATAATTATATAATCGGGACCGAAATTTTACTTCGAAAAATAGGAGGTATTCGGATAATGCATTTCGAATAATACGCTAGTATTTATATTGATTTATATAGAGATAAAAACAGGACCGCCGATCTACTTCGGATAATGCCGGGTATTCGAATAAAGGGTTGTCGAATAACCGGGGTCGGACTGTATAAGAAAAAAGTGCGTAATGAAAATATTAGTTTTCATAATTTCTGTTCCGAAAATAATTGACATGTAATATGCAAGAAAAAGAATCAAACACCTGCTGTCGGTACAGACGGGAATATCTAGCTCTCGGGTAACTGTTTAGCGGAAACTCGGCAGAGCCTCGTTACCGCCGTAAACAGTTACCCTCGAGCTAGATATTCCGGTCTGTACCGGCAGCCAGTGTAAGATTCTTATAATCTATTACTGCACTAAGGTGACTATAAATCATGGAGATTACTCACTGACATAATTCTCCATCCAGTCAGTTTCCCCAAAGCTCGCCTCTCTAAATCTCTTGACTTTTAGCAGCACAACTTTTAAAACAAATTAACACTTGTTTTTTATATGATTAACAAGTTTATCCTGTGTATAGATTAGTAGATTTAATCTTAACGTATCCTTATTCCATTCTACAAAGGACAGAAAACCAATACAACAGATGGACTGGACCAGGTATCACTTTTTTAATATTTCATTATTTTTATGGTATCAAGTGTAAAGCCCTCTCATCCTAGCGAGGAACCCATACAAAGTGTTTTAGAATCTTAGTAACACATTTCCATATATGTGACACTGGTAATACACATGTATACATACATGCCATTATATCTAAATTACTGTTATTAACAAAAGTAAATTACCTGCAAACCAAGCACCTCATTTTGTTCCTTTGTACGTTTATAATGTATAACTTTAGTCTCCGGATCTGATTTGGGTGCAAAAGTAATTTTGTTAAGGAAAATCATAAATTACATCATATGTATATTTAAATACTATGCAAGCAATTAATTTATCCTTAAAGGCTGCTAAATTGTAATTTGAATTTATTTTATTTGAATTTCATGTTATTACTGGTAATTATACTAGTGTAAAAAGTAGGGAAGTAGATTTTGACAAAAAATATATGTATGAAACATCATTTAAATAAAATGACAACAGAAGACGTTCACATGGTCCTTGATGTTAATAAAGAAATAAAGTGAATTATCCTTGAAATACTGAAGATAAATGAACTGCTAAGGTAAAGGTTTACTGGATTGCCATAATCTTTTTCATTATAGAAATGGTATGTTATGGATGCTACATTATTCAGTGTTATCTCCTTTATTTTGTTGGCCTTACAAGAACTAGCTTCAAATATAGGTTCAAGTACTTTAACAAAGGATATTGATTTTCTATAAAGCTGTTTCCACTGGGATCATCAAGCACCTGAAAAAAGATATATATTTAATAAAGTTAAAGAAAAAATAAGATATCTAGTGGACTAACAAGAGCTATCAGTGAACATTTGTGTCATCTGATGATAGCCAGTTCAACAGTTGTATTAAGGGGTGATAGGACAGTTTCTTCTCTATATATTGCGGCTACTTTGTTACTCATTGGCAAATTACCGGAACCATCTTTTCCATCTGTTGCTTTTTGGCAATAAGTATATTTATAGTGTGAATTAGTATTTTGTATGGAAGTGAAAATACTACTTTATTATTTATATACAATTTGCTATTTTTACGACAAATTATTTCACAATTATTGTTACTTTTTTTCAAACAACAAGCATCTAACATTTCCCTAAAACCATTATTTAAACATTATAAAATTTGTGTTTGCCCTTTCTAAAGAAGTAAAAATGTATTTTTTTCTGAGGCATTTGTGCCTTTAAGTCAATTAAAAAACCATTTAGTTTATGCTTACCAGGTGAAAAGGTGATTTTAATGTCTTTAATTCATTTAACTTCTCCACAAACTTGTCAATCTGCTCTGCAACATCAGGATGCTGGATCTATAATACAACAATGATACAGTATTCAAATCATGGGCTCTATTCAGTTTTCAAAAATTATTTCACATATATGATAATGTAAAAAGCAAGAAACTTTACACTCATTGCTCAGTACTGGTTGGTTCCGGGAACGAATTCAAAGGTGTGTCTATAAGCTTATAGCTTCCTACACAATGGAACTAAAATAAATTCTGTGTTAACCATATGTGTAAAAATGTTTCACTTATAGTAATCAGATTTCTGGCAATAACTTTGCATATCATCTTATCTTACATTAAATACAAAAAAAATGGAAACATCAAAAAGTTTGAGTGTACCTATTATAAACCATAAAATCAACATCTGAGAAAACTTAATTTCATAGAAAAGCTGTGGTAACCACAAATATATCATAATGATAATAAACAACACCTACCTTTCTCAAAACTTGATCTTGATTCAACCCTTCAACAGCTCTGTCTATTATTCCTTCTACTGTAGTTAATACTAATAAAAGCATCAAAAATAAAATGCATTTTATTAACCTTAATGGTGAAAAGTTTACAGAAATGAGGTTCTTCATTAAGATTTATTTATAAATTTTAATGAAAAATCGTCTAAAATTAGGACAAGATTTACTTCACACATAACTTTAGGAAATATTACTCACAATGAAACTTAAGACATTTAATCATTGTACAGTAAATTCCACTTTTTACAATATTGCCTTTAGCAATATACTGCTAAAAACAAATACAAACAACAACAACACTGCTGTTGCCTCTGCCTTGATCCTTGATTTCAAACAGGTGGCTCTCGGGTATAATGATTTCCGGATATAACAACATAAATCTGGCAGTCCCCTGAATACCATTATAAGTAAAGTTTACAGTACATAATGTAAAATTAATAATTGTTCTGTTCTGTTGTATGATTAATATCTTGTGTTCTGTGTATCACAAATGTTAACTTTCCACCCCCTTAGCTCAATAGGGAGGGTATGGGATTAGCAATCCATGGGTCCCTGGTTTGATCCTCAGACAAGACATTTCCCCTTTACAACTGATCCCATCATTAATGTTAATAGTCATATTTCTCCCATTGCTGATTCAGAAATCATGTCAAATTAATATCTGGTCTCTTGGGGCAAAATTGATAATACTAGTAAGTTATCAAAGAAAAATAGTTACACACAGGTGGATTGACTGCTTAGATACCAACCCCCCAAAAAATGTTAAAATTTGTGTAAAATCTAGGGGTGTCACGGTTAGAAAAATGCTAACAATTTAAACGGCTACTTAATAAAGATGTTAAATGTTTAACCGACCATACTAATAAATCCTTAGATTTTCAACATTAACTTTATTTCTTTATGACAAGATATGCCATTTTGTTCATATTTTTTGTACAGTGTACTCAAAATAATTACAATACATATCCGAATATAGAGTTACTATTTTCCGCTAGGGTCGTACAGTATTCGATCAGATCGGACAAAATACAAAAACAAACAAATATAAACGTTTCAATTGTAACAAATTCAACAAGTTCATCAAAACAGAAAAATAAAACAACAAAGTAAGACTTAAAACAGCAGACAATTACCTCCTTTGTTTGGTGGTGATTCAAACTCAAGTTCTGGTATTGATATAGTGGCAGACTCTGTCTGTACAACTTGCCTATTCAAATCCTGAAATAAGAAATTAAAGCCACTTATTATGTTATAACTTGATCATTATTTATTTTTAGGAAAAATGTTAAAATATGTACTGACTGAATAGTGAACAGTATTTACCATGATCGAAACTAAAATAAAAAAAAAAAACCCAACATACACCCAGGTTGACATTCATATCCATGCATTCTGTATAGGCTTTGAACTTTTTCTGACTATCTGCAATCAGTCTTCAACTTAATTTTTTATCAGCACTAGCCCAGTCGGGCTAGCAGCTTACAAATTTCACTAGCCCGAACACATTTTAACTAGCCCGAACCAAAATGGTATTTTTTGCATACATTTTGTACAAAAACAACACTTTCTATATGTTTTATATACCATTTAACATTATTAAAATATCAACTTATCAACTTTTCTTCCTTTCATTATTTAAATAAGAAGAGTTTAAACTACATATATGAAAAGAAGATATTTTGATATTTCCGTGGCATTGTCTACAGACACTGAAAAAAATTGTTTAAAAACTGAAACTACTCTTCTCCTCATTTACTGTAACCATGTCGGCTGATACATGCATTGACAACATATTTATATTCTTTTTCGTATTACTTTTACTTTTTTTGGTGTGTTCCCTTTTGGCTTAGTGCCTTCAAAATACAAGAGAAAAGACATATTGTGAAGCATGAGATGACGCCTATTAAATACATGTCTAACAATCAATAATATTTCATAAGCGTTTTAAGTTCAATAAAGCTGCAAATAATTTTTAGGGCCAAGGTGGTTTACCCATCAAAATCTAGAGTAAAATGAAAATTCTGGGGTAAAATTTATAAAAAGAATTTGCATTGTTTTGTTATCAAATTTCATTGCCTTCTAAAAAGTTCCTTTCTTTACATAAATCAGACTGACTTATATAATAAAATATTGATTCAGTGTGAAACAATACAAAACTTGCTCTGTTAAGGCAGGCTTCCCTAGACAAGGGTTTGTTTAGGTTACTCAGCAAATTTATGACAAGACTCATTTTTTTTGCTGACATGTTGTTGTTTGAATGAGTCACATTCTTTTACAATCAGCTACATGGTCAGCATGAGGCTTTATTCATACTCTATTTCTACAGAGTGAGACTACATTTTAGTGCCGTTCTTTGGTTTTGAATATTTATAATTGAAATTAGAATTAAATTAAAACTTTTATACACAAAGAATTAGTCTTTGAGGAAATTGTCCGTAACTGTAACCTTGGTACGAAAATATTGAGTACAAAACTGCAGATGGGAAGGGAGAAATATGTTTTCCAATAACTAAAGCGGCAAGTACGACATTTTTCTTTATTTTTTAGCAAAAACATTATAATATATGTCTATCTAAACAAATTGAATATTAGGTTCAGTCCTACGATGATAACACCAAATTTAACTTATCAATAATTTCATTTCAGAAACTCCCAAGAGTTACCTTCCCTTTTTACTCGATGTCACTTCCTGCTACTTTCGTTTTCAACTTACAGCAGTGTTGACAATAGTACTTTTAGTTTCCCATCCAATTCAGCAGAAATACATTGTATTTTCATAAAGCCAAAACATTGCTATCTGGAGCTATGCATATTTCCAACATTTTCTTAATTTGGATATGAAAAAAGCCCTCGACCAGACGGGCTACCAGCTTGAAATTTTCACTCGACCACCCGCAAATTTACTCGACTCGGTCGTCGGTCGAGTGGGTTAAGTCGAAGACTGTGCAATGTTTTCATCTTGATATCCCCAAAGTCGATAATGGTCAGTTACAAGTACGAGAGCTTGGAAAGTCCATTCAATAAAGCTTATTTAACCATATCAGAAAAATTAAACTCCATAGATTATTTTTGACAAAGTGACCTATTTTCAGACATGACCAATCTCTATCAGGACAAGATTACATGGAAGTTGTTCATATCAAATCAAAACTAGAACTATCACTAAATGTGATTAATACCCCCACAAGACTGCTTCGGAAATGAGGATGTTACTAGTAACAGAATACCTTGTAAAAGAATTGAAATATAGAGTTATGGTTGTGGGCAATTAAAAATAGTTGTGGTTCTTATATGTTGCATTTCCTTTCCATGTGGTTGGCCATTGATGAAGTTTAATTGAATTACTCTGTAATAAGTCCAGAAAGACAAAGAAAAGGAACAAAGGGCAATGACTCTATAAATACTGAAGATAGAGTTATAGTTCTTGTGCAATGCACTTCCTCTTAATGTGCTTGACCATTGTATGAAGTTGTTTTCAATTCCAACCAGTACATTTTAAGTTATGCTCCTGACAAGGAAAAGTATCAAAGGGCAGTAACTCTGTATTTTGTCAAAATGGAGTTATGGCTCTTGTGCACTGCACTTCCTTTTAATGTCCTTGACAACTGTATGAAGTTGTATTGAATTCCAAACAGTAGTTTTCAAGTTATGCTCTGGACAAGGAAAAGTAACAAAGGGCAATAACTCTGTAATTAGTCAAGATGGAGTTATGGTTCTTGTGCACTGCACTTTCTCTCAATGTGCTTGACCATTGTATGAAGTTATATTGAATTCCAACCATTAGTCTTCAAGTTATGGTCCGGACAAAAAAATCAATGGAAAAGTAACAAAGTGCAATAACTCTGTAATTACTTTAGATAGAGTTATGGTTCTTGTGCACTGCACTTCCCCTTATTGTGTTTGACAATCGTATGAAGTTGTTTTGAATTCCAATCAGTTGTTTTCAAGTTATGCCCCGGACAAGGAAAAGTAACAAAGGGCAATAACTCTATAATTAGTCAAGATAGAGTTATGGTTCTTATGCACTGCACTTCCTCTCAATGTGCTTGACCATTGTATGTAGTTATATTGAATTCAAACTATTAGTCTTCAAGTTATGGTCTGGACAAAAAAAAGCAATGGAAAAGCAACAAAGGGCAATAACTCTGTTATTACTTTAGAAAGAGTTATGGTTCTTGTGCACTGCACTTCCCCTTATTGTGTTTGACAATTGTATGAAGTTGTTTTGAATTCCAACCAGTAGTTTTCAAGTTATGCCCCGGACAAGGAAAAGTAACAAAGGGCAATAACTCTGTAATTAGTCAAGATAGAGTTATGGTTCTTGTGCACTGCACTTCCTCTCAATGTGCTTGACCATTGTATGTAGTTATATTGAATTCCAACCATTAGTCTTCAAGTTATGCTCCGGACAAGGAAAATGCAACGGACGTCTGGACCGACCGACCGCCCGACCACCGGGTGACTCCTATATACCCCCCCAAACTTCGTTTTTGGGGGTATAACAAGGTCTGTTTTGTTTCTAAGGGCAATTTTCACACATATCTGGCCATATCTCTGCAGCAGGGCTTCTGTTTACTTCCAAAATTTTGAAAATCTGAGACCGCAAAATCTCTGACAATGGAAGTCACATTATATAGGTATAGAAGGAAGCATTTTAAGTCACAAGCCAAAATCAAGGTGTAAATGGCTCTGAAACTTAAATAAACAGAAGCCCTGCAAATTGGTGGCCAGTCCACCAATCTGGTTTTCCTGAATCACTATTAAACCTGTTTGTCTATAAGTAACAGACTTCTTATCCCACATGAGATCTTAATAAGTTGTGAGAGACAATTGACCATCACACTCAATGTGAAAGAGAAACCGCATGGGTTCAAACCCTTTCTGGGGCAAGCCGTTGTTTCCTTGAGCAAGAATCTTTACATTCATTGCTTAGTACTAGTTGGTTCCAGGAATGGATTCGAGAGTGTTTCAATAAGCTTATAGCTTCAAACAAAATCAAACTAAAATAAATTTTTATAAACTAAAGAGAAACTTAACTTTATTTGTTATCTATGGTTAAAAGACACAATTTCTTAATAAAGAAATTAACAGGCAAGCATAGATGGTAATAGTTATGTATACAACGTTACACAATGTTCCTTCAAACAGAACTGTCTGAGAAATACCTGTCATCAAAAAGATTAAGTATTTCTTATTTCATTTTTTAACTGGGTTATATGTAGCACCAACACAGTATATGTCATACCACGACTTTCCAGTTTTACTGGTGGAGGTAGACCACTGTGCAATTTTTCAGGCATGAACAGCCGCCAGAGTAGAACCACCAACCATTCGTAAGCTAGCTGTATAGCTTACTCACATTAATGAATCTGAAGATACTTGCGCAGCTCAAACGTACCAGTGGTGAGAGGCAAGTGGTTAAAAGTAAAAAAATCACTCAGACACAGAAGCCCCAAGTTAAAGTCAACATGGTTACAAAATGTACTACAAGAACTATAAAACAAAATTGTAACTGGAGCTAAAACTAAAACTCAAATGTTCAAACAGTCAACTCTTTTGGGTAAATGAGAAAACTTGTAATCATTATCTATATGTCATAAATTCCATGTAATAACTCTTACCGCTTCATTTACCACTTTCAGCGTATACTTCACTCCTTTCTCTTGTATTTGTCCCGCAGGCTGTAACTCAGAATTCTTAAACCCACAATGATCACATGCGAATGAGGAAACAATCACCTCTCGGAAGAACGGAATTCTTGTCAGAAAGAGGCGTGTCATACCCTGCAATGATACATTATCTATTACACTACATAAACGATGTTCCTTTTCATACTTGAGCCTTAACCTGCTAAATTTGTGTAATGGGTTTGCCCATGTCTGAATTTGGAATAGTCCATGTCAATTTTCAAATAATTTTAATATGAAAACACTGGTAAATTTAACTTTTAATCTACTTTTAAACAATGTTGTATCATTTTCATATAAATCACAGGAAATTTTATAAACGGATTAGATCCGGCATATACCGTAATTACAGCATATAAACACTGTGCTAGTCCATTGCTTGATTTCATTTGGACACTTACACAGTGACTGATAAGAAGGCATGAGAAGCCTGTCCCCCTATTTTAAGTCCCAGATAGCAAAGGCCTATTCACAAATTCGAAAACCTAGCTAAACGCCGTTTTTCAGTACTTTCTGTACATAGCTCTGGGGGAATAACACCTTATGGAGTGTAATAGCGAACTCGATGTTTTCGGCCTTTTTTTAAATTAAATTGAAATAAAACAGTTATTTCTTTATAAGAAAATAATTAAATATCATTGTATGAATAATTCCATACAAAAAATAAAGTAAATACACAAGTTTACGCAGAAAATAACCTTATTTATTATGGAAGATTCCACTACGTCTGTTTTAATTTTATTGATTTTCATTATAAACAATTTATTTTTTGAAAAATTTGCAATAGATATTAAAGGAATATTGATAATTTTCAAATACATCAATTTTTTTTCACATTTAACGGTAAAATAATGATAGAAAAATAGAAATATCATGTAATTGTGTTATGTACTTCATTTGGCTTAATTCCCCAGAGCTAAATCCGTAACGTACCGGAAAACAGTGTTTAGCTAGGTTTTTCGAAAAGGTCAATAAGAGCAGTCAGTGAATTTGGACACAAAATAAAGCATTCACCAGTTTTTATACTTCCTAAAATAGCAATTTACGAGATAGATTTTCCCAAAATATGTTAATTAGAAAGGAAAACCACTGCACCCGAAGTGCCTGTATCTGTGTTTACATTTTGGTCTAGAATCTTTAATAACTATATCAGTTTATTGGGTAGTCCTATAAATATGATGTCGCTTTTTCTGGGCAAAGCAACGTCATATCGAAATTGCTCAAAAACCCATAGCATGTTCCGCCAGAAAATCGGGCGGAACGAAAAACAATGAAGACAGCGTGTATTTACATAAGTAATATAAGTATTTACATACTGTAGGTCAACTACAGTTGACTCTCAATAAGTCAAAATCGCTTTACTCAAAACTCCGCGTTAGTCGAAGAATTTCTAAAGTCCCGTCAAATTTCCTTCTTTAACTTTGTATTTTAACTCCGCTTAGGTCAAATTTTGACTTACCAAGACTCCTGTTTAGTCGAAAAGAAAATTTGGTCCCGTCAATTAAAATCAAACATATTTTCATTTCAATAAGTCGAAGTGTGAAAACAGCCGACTGATCAAAGGTCGGCGACATCAAGGCGGGACGTTGTCACTCGTGATTCACACGTTTCATAGTAATTTTAATTGCCGGTCATCATGTATTATTAAAAAAGTGGATTTAATCGGTTTCAGCGCTTAATTGGTTTTAACAGTTAGATAACTAATTTAAGATTTAATTAATTTAAGTGTAATTAAGTTTACCTGCAGACTAGTCTTACACATTTCTATTAGAATGTTGACTCGTTCCAGTCTGACAGGCTTTAGTCAAATAACAGCCTAGATATCAAGGTAAATGACATTTCTTTAATTAATTTTCCGTCATATTGCATACATTAATAACTACCGGTTTATGATAGTTGATACTTTCGTTTTCGTCCGATGATCAATTCACTTCAAATATTAGATAAATTGTTGTTGAAGTAAATGTGTTATTGTGCTTTTATTGTAATGAATTGTCGTGAGTGCTTATTAAAACATGTGCATGGCCGCTGTCAACAATAACAAACCTACTTCTTTGCACATTCAGTAGGCACATGTATATACATGTACGAATGTCAACGTAATGGCGGCAGATTCACTTTACTCGAATTCCGTTTCTCTCGAAGTAAAATGCCAAGTCCCTTGGATTTCGAGTTACCGAGAGTCAACTGTATTTATGAACAAAACTAAAAAATAAATACCTTTTGTCAAAATAATTAAACTGTCACATCCGAAAAATCATGATTAAATCTTCTCATGTATTTAAATTCCTTTCACAGCCGATAAACAAATGACACACTAACAAAGTTTGCACTCTTACCCTATGCTACGACCGGATGTAAACAATACATTCGCACAGGGCATGCGCGGTGGTTTAATCCCACCCATTTTATTCGATAAAATTCTAGAACAACCTCTACTTTCGGTTTCAATTTTGCTGACAAGAAACAGTTTGAGTCAAATTAAGTGTTAATTTTAATGGCAATGTCCAAAACTTTGCACTACAAGGCGTAATTTTCATTACATATCAGGTATTATCACCGTCATAGTAGTTTTTATTCCAGTCGGTCAAAATGACTGTACACATTTACATGTAAACAAACAGATTTAACTTCTCAGATAATTTTAATAAGGAATGGACACACGGTAAACTCTGTTGCAACGTAAAGTATATTCATAAACCTGTTTGAGAAAAATTGTCTCCGTGTTCAAATAAATTTCAAAAACGGGTTAAAAAGCAGTCTTTTACCGATACCCTGCAACAAAACCTTATTATTCTGACGAAAAAAAATTGACTTTATAACGCTCGTATACAATTATTTATTGATCGATTTTCATTATATTTATTTTGTAATACCTATCATTCAATATGCAATCAAACAAAACCAAGTTTTCCTACATTCAATGAAATTGTAAGTGAGGACAAGCTTTCAAAACGAACAGGTAGCAATTTCCAACACGCTTACTGAAACTCCAACATGGCGGCTCAATCTGGCTCATTTGCATAATTTATTCGTAAACGCAGGAGCATAGAACTTTGTTAGTGTGACGGCCATAAAGTGCGCGAAATCTGATTGGCTAATTCAAATGTAAGCGTTTAACTGAGTCAGAACAATCTAACGGAATATTTTTTTAACGAAATAATTGCCAATGCACCGTCAGTGTGTTCGAATATATTTTTCCGTTGAAAAATTTGGAATCAATCTGTAAAGCACCTTGCTTAACCAGTATGGCTGATAGACAATTTATATTTTATTTTAAATTGATCTGTTGATAAGTACATTGTTTGAGAGTTTTTGTTTATGATTGAGCATGAAATTGAAAGAAAAGAACTTTAGAAGATAAGCTTTTGAATTAAGCTTGAAAGGCAAGACAATAGACATTTTTTGAATTTTTTATGATGCTATGCGTTTTTGAGCAATAACTATTAGATGTCAGACTTGACCGACATAAATTTTAACAAGCCTATAACGTCTCACAGTCTAATATGTTTGACTATTTATTTGGTTGATGGTTTTCTGTATCAATCTAATGTGAAAATTGTTATATCGTTGTAACAGATGTCCCATTCATGTTTAAATGTTGAACGATTTTTGATAGTTTACAGGGGCGTATCATCTGTGCCAGGGGGAGGGTTAGTCCTTCATTGAAAGACATCGCATTTTCTTTTTTTTACATTTTGACGTTTATCGGAAAATGCGAAGTCTTTCCATAACTGGCTAATTTCCCATAGCACTAATCGACACGCTTCTCGAGTCGATTTGAATTTACCGGTAAATCACAACTTAAAAGTTTTTTATCACAAAAAGCAATTGATTGCATAAAAGACGGAAGCATATTTTCCCCAAAACTGTAAAAATATGCAATAATTACTCACGATAAGTAGTTTATTTATCCATATATTTAAGAAGACACATGAAAGACAGTTTGCGGTGACCCCCATATTGGAAATTCCCGGTCATGCTGTGACGTCACTCAAAAACAATAGTACGAAATTAGTCTGAACGAAAAAAAATTCTGTTGTGATTTAAGACGCTGACAGGTGCGCGCAATAAAAATTTCGTCTAAAAAATATGGTTCCAGTAATCACCGCATTGCGTAGTACACACAATATGGAGGCTGTTTACACAATTTTAACATGGGATTTGTTTTAAATTGTTTAAAATTTGAATAAGTTGATTTTGATAAGGAAAACACACATTTATGGTAGGATTATGATTATTTGTAACATTTTACATCGGAAGTTTGAATGATTGTGCATGTTTATTGTTTTTCATTTTGCTATGGATTTTAAAATAGATATCTTTAGACGTTAAAGCGGATTTGACCCTTGTAAAAAATAGCTTCAAATCCGCGGTTACGTCTAAATATTTGGACTAGGGGAGGGTCTGTTCATAAATAAAAAATTTGGAAACATTTGTTCCAAATGTCTGAAATTTTGTGATAAAAAATATCGGTACTAATCTATTTACCTGCTCTTGACAGTTCAAACAGAGGCTTTCAATCTGAGTAACTTCTGGGTCATCATCATCTGCGTTTATGTCACGAAATATGTTTTTATCTTTGTCTTGTTTAATTTCAGCCATCGTGTACAAAATAGCATGGGAATTTTCTAGAAATATTTACATTAACACCGTTTGTTTCGCGAATGTCTAAATACTGTTAAGTACCGTACCTAGCCGGTGCAAATCGATCCGGCCCCAAGTCAACCCGACCTCAAGGCGCTTCGGTCCCGTAATAGTCAATCTGACCCTAAGACAATCTGATTACTGGTCAACCCGGCCCCATTTTTATCATTTTTAACTAACACTACTTTTACTTCATCAAATTTTATTACCAAAGAAAAAAATTGGTAATTTTAATTATCAAAATAAAAAAATAGATTCGTGATATCAAGCAAAGGAATGTTTCTTGAGTCATACACGGTTAAAACTAGTTGACGCATGTGTTTTTATTGCTATTGTTTTTTTTAAAGAAAAGTAATGATGACGATTATGAAAATCCTTGAAGACATTCTCTTGTGTATTTTATCTTGATAATTATAAAAAAATTACATTTTTTTCTTGCATAGAAAAGGTTAATGAAAATGTGAAGAAGAAATCTGATAACAAAACGTTTCTCTTCTCCCGATCACGAGTCTATACAAGTGGAAAAAAAAATTCAGAAGGGTTGTTGCGAATAGCTCTTTGGAGCAGTAGATGTGAAACAAGAAAGCACATAGGGTAATTAAGTCATATCATGTTTTCAAAGTTACCAGTTTAAAAAAAAATTCTCGCAACTGCATTACTAGTATAATAAGTTACCGTACCCAGAGAAACACACTAGCTAAAGCATTATTTATGCGTTTAGAAAAAAAATATTTTCGAATTTACATACATTAAATGAATTAAATAGACCAAACGTTGTGTACAGCAAGGTAAATGTTTTCCCCGTCATCCCCCCCCCCCCCCGTCACAGGTATATGATAACACATACTTATTGATGCTTATATCTTCATTCAATACAAGTTGTTTACTTGAATTCTAGCAAAAGAACCATTTTTCAGAAAGAAACCGTAATCTACCCACTGGATCGATTACATTGCAGATTGGACATTGCTACAGCTTCGAATACCAATTGGTTCGATTAAATTGCGAATTGAATAATGCAATATATCTTGGTATATGTCTTGGTATGGTTACGGCAATATTTATAAGGTACATGTCCTTAGATTGGACATTGTAATAGCTATAGGCCCGCGAAGCATGAACGTCTGCCTTCGTGGCGATTTGGTCTGTTTGTAACATAAAACCCCCTTGAAATCTAGAAAAAAGGAAAACAATCCGGAAGAATCCATGATACACCAATTGGTCCGATTATGTTGCAAATTGTACATTGCAATTGTTTGGAATACAGCAGAGAAGGGCAAAATTTAATGGCGATTTCCAAGAAACAGGCCAGAGGCCCGCGTGACATGGGAGTTGCGGCAATGTGCTCTTTCTGTAAAACCGGAAGAAACCATGATCTGCCCAATTACGTTGCAAATTAAACATTGCAATAGCTTTGAATACCCATTTTAAAGCAACATCAGGCATTACCCGGCGATCAGCCGCCAACAAGTTCCATTTAAATTAAAAGGCTACCAAAGGCTACCAAAATCCAGTTTATAAAAATAGACTGAATACACATCACACATTCTTTAAAAGAAAAGATGAAAATTATGATAGTGATATAGAATTTGTAGCTATAGAAATAATAGGTCAAAATAAAAATTTCACCGTCATAAAATAACATGCACATAAATCAATAACCTGTATGACAAATTTAAAACTATTTGTGGATTTTAATCTAAACATCCATGCTGGAATCCCAAACATGACGATAGGAAGGATGCCGAGTCCGAGGATTTGCTAGAATTTTTAAATTGTTTGTTTGTTTCATTTTACGCCTTTTCCCAACAGTATTTCAGTCACATAATTTATATATAGGCGGGTAGTTTTCTAACCATCGTTCCTGGAGAGTTACACCAGTACTTGAGTACTTGACTACCTTCCTCCGTGCTAAACTACCAAAGCATCTCCAGGTGATCGAACCCACGCCAGAGAGGTAACTGTATAAGAAGTCATCGACTATAACCCCTCGACCACGGAGGCGGTTTAAATGACTATAATTTTTGTTATTCAAATGATGGGCAAGTAACGAAAGTTAGTAACTGCGATTCCCACAATGACTCCGCGATCGACCTTTCCTTAATTTCATCAAATTTATTTATTTTATCAGAATTTTTAGTTTTAGATCATACTATAGGTAGTGATCACCTTGTTTGTTTGTTTGCTTGTTTCATTGTACGCCTTTTCCCAACAGTATTTCAGTCATATAGGCGGGTAGTTTCCTAACCATCGTTCCTGGAGAGTTACACCAGTACTAGACTACCTTTCTCCGTGCTAAACTACCAAAGCATCTCCCAGGTATCACCTACCTTTAATCACTTTACTAAGCATTGAAATTGATAGAAACAATATTAAGCAGACTTGGAAACGGGGGGGGGGGGGGGGGGGGGGGGCGGGGGGAATCACGTGACTTTGTAAGAAAATGGCGACTGCTGAGCCCGGGTAAGTACCTTATTATGTTAAATTAAGGTGACAAACGTTTCTTAAATCAAAACAAAACCTAGCGTATCATATGCGCGTTAATTTTCTTATTTTCTTGCGCGTTATAGCTGTAGTCGTCGAAGTCGTAGCTGTATAATTATAGCCGAAGAAGTCTTATAAGTGCTCGAGGTCATGGTCGTATAGCTATACTTGAAGACATAAAAGTCGTATTCGTAGTAGCAAGGTTCATGGACGAAGTCGTGGCCGAAATCGAAGTCATAGAAGGCGTCGTCGTTTTAGTAGTATTCGTGCTCGTTGTCATAACATTCGTAGCCGCATTCGTAGTCATAAAAATTGTAAAAAAAAATCATAATCGTGGTCGCAGTCGTCATGATCTTCATGATCGTCGAGGTCGTAGTTTAGTCGTTCTAGTCTAAGTCATCGTCAATGTCGTGGTCGTAGTAACATTTTTGTTTAATCAATAATCGGTCGGATGCAAGCATTGTTTACTTTGACTCCCAATTTTAGTTTCAGTTACACCGTGTATATCCAGAAACGCAGGAATGTGCAAATAACGCTGGACATTCGTTGTTTCGTTGGTATGACCTATATATACATGTATATATATGACCTATATATATATGACCTATTCATTGATAACGTCATACAGAAATTAAAATAATAAACAAACAACGCATGCGCACAACCATAGATAAGTCGATCAATGTAGAAATGTATGATGTGACAAGTTGACAAAAAGAATATAATTAGCAACGTAATACATAAATCATATCTACAACTTATACCTATACACATATTGGTATATAAACCCCTTACACAAAAATTTGCATATATAATATCTAATCTTTTTTTACTGTCGTTTCAAACATTTTTATTTTCCCTCTTTTCTATTAAGCTAACAAAATAATGCATTTCATTCTTTCGTTCGTTCGAGCGTGCGTGCGTTCGTTCGTTCGTTCACCTATTTATGTATTTATTTATTTTGATCACTATCTCTTTAATGGCCATATAACCGCCGACATTTCGTAAGCCAAGTTAGACCAAGTTTAATTATTTAGAAAAGTTAAAATTTCAAGTTGTGATTAACATAGTAACAACAGTTCGAAATCGTTTTAACTAAAATGCATAAAGAATATTTAAGTTTTTTCTATAAATACAGGATTTATTTTTTATTGAGTGTTATGAAAATAAATGTTTCATAAATGGCGGTACATGCGAGTAAATTTTGATCATTTTTATACCACAAGATGAAAATAAATCCTGTATTTATAGAAAAAAATTCTTTGTTTCGACTTTTCAATATGAAAGCCGTGTGAATACTGGCTGAATTAATGAGAAAGAAATCTTGCAAGACAAGAGTGAAAATACGGAAAGTATGTTTCACTGCAGTGAAAATTAAATTTTTACAGTGAAAGTACGGAAAATGAAAATACGCATTTTATTTCATCAATATTTCACAAAATATTTCATTTATAAGTATATAATTATGTAATAAAGTAAGTTATTTTTCTGTGCTAGCTGCTAGTGTAGATCGATCTATATATAAATAAATATTCATTTGCAAACAAAAATAATCCTTATCTAAATAATGTGTCTGAACACGGTCATTATTACACAGTGATATAAATCTTTAAAAGAATCCCCGATAAATATTAACTGTTATCTATTGATAATACATTATTGTATTTGAAAGGCTTTGTAAAATAATTTATTAAATAACTTTAGTTTCAATAATATAGTTTCATAAGCGATCTATATGTTCAAATCTATCTTTGTACTTCATAGCACTTTGTTTGTTCTGGATAATTTTTGTATAGTAACTGAATGTTAGAACAGGTTTTTAAACTGTAATGCAGAAGTCTCCACTCCTAACGATTTCGTCGTGCATCACCGGATTTTGACAAATATTTAAATCCCAAAGTTTGCGAGGGTTAATGGGTCAATATAAACATTGAAAGTATGGGGGGTCAGAGGTCATATATCTGCTTAAGAAATAAAAAGTTTATCTAGTTTACGTTTTCCGTAATTCTATGGAAAAAAATTAATCCGATCATTATGACTGGTTAAACTATTTCAAGATTTTTAAAATCTTGATAAAGTTTTATCATAGGTTGACATGAACAAATTTTCTTCGGGAACTTTGGGGTAGAAAAGTAGAAAATACGGACATGATGCGTAACTGTAATATACATGTATGTATAACAATGCCAGAAACTGATCACTGTTATGACCTATTTATTGGAGAAAAAAAAAGACGCTGCGACTGCACAGTCTTTATCAAAGACACGGTGCGAAAGCATATTAAACACGAAGACGATCGATTGGTTTATGAATACAGCACTCTTGAAATCGCGCTTTAGTTGAGTTAAATTTACGTGCTTTCGATACTACGAAACAACGATGGCCTTAACTAAACACCGTATTTTTATCTCTCTCTAATGTACACAACATATGTATTTGCCAAGGGTAAACGTTGAATCAATCTTACACATAGCGGTGGAGGTACAACTCGTGTGAAAGTGTTCAGTTAGACTATATGATAAATATGGCATATTCATCTATAGGAATAACGTTAACTACATTACTCCTAATTCTGATAAATCAGACTCTCTCAGCAGGGGTTCCAAGTGTTACTACGAAATTAGGAACTATAACCGGAGAGACTAAAAGTGTTACTTTTCAAGGAAATGTGCATCAAGTTAACAGATATCTCGGAATTCCTTACGCTAAACCTCCAACTGGAGATTTGAGATTTCAACGTCCCGAGCCATTCGGACCATTTTCCGAGACATACAATGCTGCAGAATTCGGAGCATCATGTCCACAACCGAGTTATCCGCATATGCCAGTTGAGAAAAACACCGCTGAAGACTGTTTATTTCTGAATATCTATGTGCCGCGCCAGGAACCAGATGAACCGTCTGGTCACGCGGTCATGTTCTTTATACATGGCGGCGGGTTTTCAATAGGTTCAGGACTTTTATATGACGGGGCAGTGCTGTCGTCCATAGGAAATGTGATCATTGTAACAATAAACTATAGACTGGGGCTTCTCGGATTTCTTGATATTGACGACGAAAAGGCGTCCGGAAATTTCGGATTATTCGATCAACGTTTAGCACTTCAATGGGTTCATGAAAATATTGATGCGTTTGGTGGAAACAAAGACATGGTAACAATATTCGGGGAGTCTGCTGGGTCAATGAGTGTTTCAATGCAAATGATGTATCCGCCAAATAAAGGTCTGTTCAGAGGTGGTATAGCTCAGAGTGGGGCTCTTAGTATTCCTGGTGTATACCCCGAAAATAACATTGGTATGGCTAAATATTTTGCCGAAAATATGAGCTGCAGCGTTGAAACAATGGATGAAGTGTTCAACTGTCTAAAAGAAGCGTCGGCTGAGACTTTAATCCAGGTAGTTATGGATGCAATGGCATCTGGTGGAATGGCGTCTGCTGCTAGTGTGGGTGCTATTCCAACAATTGACGGCAAATTCATCAGAACCAATCTTGGTGATTTGCTTAAGAAAGCAGGGACTGACACCTTTGAGGAAATAGACTTCTTCCGGTCAATCAAACTGATAAAACGGCGTAAATGGTAACGAAGGGGCTTTGTTTTTAATGATGCTTGGAAATGCTGATACGTTGGAAGACCTGGAAATAACCCGAGAACAAATGAACACACAACAAATTCCTGGTGCACTAGCAGTTATGTATGGTAATAAACCTGTTCCGGAAGTGGTGAAACAACTTATGATTTCGGAATACACGGACTGGGAGAATCCAGACGATCCAAAACGAATCCGTGGGCAGGTAGTGGAACTTTTTGGGGACATTTTTTTCAACACTCCTGCTGTGGACATGAGCAGGGTTCATTCAAATGCATCGAATATTGACAGTTATGTGTACAATTTTCTTCCTAAACTGGAGAAGCCCCTACTTCCATTACCTAAGTGGGTGAAGTATGCGAACCATGGAGATGAATTAGGACCTGTATTTGGCTACAACTTTGATCCTAAGGCCCTTTTCAATATATCTGAGTACACGCCACCAGAATGGGAGCTTGACCTTTCAAACAGAATGATGAAATATTGGTCAAACTTTGCTAAAACTGGGTAAGTCATGTATCAATAGCAAGCCATTTAATTAATGCAACTTATAACCGGTAGGTTGCTTTGTTATATGTTTTATCACAACGACAACTGGTTGCACATGTGATGTCATAACGAAAACTAGTCACACATGTGATGTCATAACGAAAACTAGTCACACATTAGATGTCATAACGACTACTTGTCACACATGTAATGTCATTACGAAAGTTATTGTCACACATATGTGATATCACTGCTAAAACTAGTCACATCTGATATCACAACGAAAACTTGTTTCTTCACAAAAACATATAACTCTAGTTGGCAAATTCGAAGTACAACCTTTCTGGTTGGAATGTGTTTGATGGCCGCTGGTGCAAACTATATAAGTCTTGTCTGTGCTGAAAGCGGAGAAGAAATATTCATTTCACTTTTACATGCTTCTGTTCCTTTTGGTCATGGGTTTTCTCTAGCACGAACATTGTGTATACAACTGAATTGTTTTGTAACATAATGTTCTGTGTTGATAATGAAGATTAAAATAAAATAAAATATTGCGTTTTTTTCAGCGATCCAAATAAACCAGATTCGGAACTGTTAGCATGGCCAAAGTATGACGTCAATTCTCAGTCCTATTTCATGTTTGATAGAGAAGATTCCATTGGTCAATATTTGTATGCAAGACCAACGGACTTCTGGAAGAAAATTGTTCCAGCTGTGATCGATGCTACTGAGCACGCGCAAACAGTGACGTCACAGTTTGGAAAGAAGGAAGAACAAACATGTGATAAAGATGGAAATTGCGGATAGCTACAAACACTTTTACTTTTTTTATTTTATATACAACATTCTAGTGTCTTATACAAATAAAGGAACATGTTTGTTTTGTACACCATATTAGCATATTGGTGAGATTTAAAGTCTGATTATATTAGAGAAAATAAGAACTATTTATATGCAAGTTTTCTACGTTTTTCTCCTTCGTTCTTCTTGTTCAGCTCCGCCATTTTGTTAAATCTTAAGGTAATTTGCACATCGGATTACAAAATAATTTCAATTAGGGGTTTATAAAATTTTGTACGTACATGTGTCGTTTTACTATTTTTTTTTGTTTTCAGAAAGATTTCCTTGTGTGGAAAATTAGATGACGCGTATTTGCGACCATACAATCGCGTGTACTACATTTTGATCTCTGCATAATTATTTTTCTCCTTCTTTGTACGAACACGTTTTGAACGATAACATTTATTGATAAAATGTCAGTACTGTTTTATAATATCTATCTTCTACATGCAATTTAAGGTAGTCTATCCCTTATTTTTCTAACATTATTTATGTATCTCTCAGTTCCCTTACGGAAAGAAAAAAGTGTTTGACGTTTATTAATTGAAGAATTTTAAAGCGGCAATTTTATTTATCTTAAATCAACTCAATTATTTTGATCTAACTATAAAAATTAGTTTCAACGTTTATTTCAAAACTTAATTCATGTACACACATACCAGTATGAGCTAAAGCATTTACGCATACATTACATAAAGAGGCATAGCATACACATGAAAATGATAATATACTTAAGGACAATGAAAACGCACGCCCGCACTATATGCATTTTATTACATAAAAACAAAACACTTACGATTCCATTAGATATATATCATATCTTTAATACAAAACGCAAACTTAACAACTGAAAATAATTCAAAATGTTTGAAATCAAATGTACAGCAGTAAATCGAAGGAGCTAATGTGAAAATCACAAAATCACACTTTTTCATCACAGTAATGCATACTTAACAAAGGCAAAAACGAAAATGAAAATCGAAAACAAAGTCACACCTAAATGTCTATTAGTAATGTCTTCGTCGGGATCTTTAGAAACGATAATGTCCTCCACCAGCGTCTCTTACAGATGTACATCGTCGCCTTATAGACCTTACGGTGCGGATAGTCGCCTGTGGAGTCTGACGCCATTCAGCCTGTAGTGTAGTGCGAAAACGCTGGTGAAGCCGAGTAATTGTAGACCGATGGACACCAAAACGGTTGGCGCTTTTTTGTAAGATAGACCAGACTGAATCTGTTCTAAATCTACACAGCGGTTAATTCTTTGTAGAAACTTTGCATACAATTTGCTAGCAAGTCTTCAGTAGTGTTTGAAATTTAGCACCTTTTATCCAATTGAGCTTTTACGATTTCTAAAACTGACCATTGGAATAGTTTAATATTCATCTTCATAAAGATTTTAATTACTCATTTGTGTCTAACATTTCTAGAAAGGTGTGAACAACAAGTTAATAATTAACAGTTTAAAACAATAAATAATTTCATTTTATAAAGTAACCATGAATTGGTTCAATCTGTTTTTCTTTTGTAATCTTATCACAATTTGCCAAAAGTGTTACTTTTGATTTTTCGGGTACTGTCTTTATTATGCAATAACATCATTAAAATGCAACCATTTTTCATAACTTTGGTATTTAAATGACCGGAATGCATTCGGTTTTATGAAACAGATAAAAAATATTTAAAAGAGATATAATTTACTTGTTAAAATGCAATTATCCCGACCGTGCGTTTTCATTGTCCTTAAGTATATAAATACAATTCATCTTAACAAAATGGAGAGAGGACATGATGAACAAATATGTAGAAATGTTATCCATTCTCAAATTTTGTGATTATTTCCTTAACAAATAAACAAAAAATCTGTATTTATTACAATGAGTTATATTCATATTCATCATAGATTTAAAAGTTAATATATTTGGATGTTACATAATTGCGATCTATCTTTTTTTTCTTAGTACAGATAATTCATTGCATTCAAATAGATAGTGGAATTCATCTCCAATACTTCCGGAGCTGTTACAAAGCTGTTACAAAGTGTGCATTTACGTAAATTTAAATCTAGACCATTCCAACTTTCGGTTTCTACAGGAAGTCTGCTGTTTCTTGTTCTAAACTTAATTACATATCTTAGTATGTTTTTGGTATATTTATTAAATAGGGTCCGAATTGGAATTTTCTTTAAATAATTTATATATGTTGCATTTACATGTACTCCATTCGTTTACTGTACAATGGCAGCCCTGTACAATATCAGTCATTTAGAAATAAATCTGACAATTTTTGCCACACATTAGCAACTAACCACTTATGATTAGGAAACATCTGATAGGTCCATACTATGGGGTTTCCACATTTGACAAGTATATTTTAATATGCTTAAACCACAGAAATGTCTGTCTATTAACATTACTACTTGTAAGTTTTAAGTGCAATTTGATCAAATGCGCTAGATAGTTTTAATTCATTAGGTACAACTAGATTATATCAAAAGTTAATCATTCTACAATCAGTATCAATAGAAATTGGTTTAACACCACATTCGCCGTACAAAATACAATTTGGTGTACTAGATTTAAGGCCTAATATATGTTTAAGATATTTCAATTGTACCTGTTATTACTATATCCCCAGCATTCACAACCGTATAATAAAAGTGGTTTTACAAGTTTGTCAAACAAATCTATTTGCATATCCAAAGGTAATTGAAGCTTTTTTGGTTTTTTAATTAAATAATGCATGGCTTTTATTGCTTGGTTAGCTATGTAAGTCTTTGCTTTTAAGAAACTACCACGTTTCTTTTTTATTCTTTACAACAGGACAGTGTAGAAAATTGTAAAACAATTCAATAATGCCGTATGATGGACATCGAAACAAGTGGTTTGAAATATGTATAAGCACTAAACTGTTATAACAGGTCAGTGATAATATTAATAATAACAAACGCTCGCACACTTCGCACCAAATATCTATAAATGCTCTCTGCTGACACCCCCTCCCCAGGCGTAATAACTCTGAAACATTTCATGTTTATAATTTTGTTTGAAAAATATTGACAATTAAAGTTCAACTTTTGTATCGGTTTTAAACAACAACAACAACAACAACAACAACACTTATGTTTTCATTATCTGTAGAAAAGTTCACTTATTTAATATATTTTCCTTACTTAAAAAGTGATTATAATGAACTATAGGTTTTAAATAACTTCAAATAAATCAATGTAAAATGTATATGAAAAGATTGTTTGTTTATTAATTGATACAGGTACCTGTCATTTTACATCAAATACGAGGGTGGGGTTAGAAAAAAAACCAGATTTTGTCGAATGTAATCGGGGCTCAACTTTTTTTTTAATAAAAATTATCTAAAAAACTTTTTTTTAACATCGTGAAAATATATAAGTTTTTACCATGTTGTTTTTACTTTACAATCATTTTATTCCCCATGTATCCGTTTCAAAAATTCACAGTAAAATTTTGAAATTTAACGAAAAAACTTCAAATTTTTATTGATATAAATTAAGAAAGAAAATAATAATCTGACAAAACAAAAAGAAGTAAAAACACAAAAATTAAAAAAAAAATATTGCATCTTCTGGGGTTTGAACCCATACCCTATCGAAACGCTGTGTTTTCACTGAAAATGAATACTCTTCAAGGAGGAGGTGCATTAGCCATCCAATAGGATAAATACCTTTACAAAAACATTTTTTACAATGATGATATTATAGATTATTTAGAGTTTCCTCATTTCTGAAAAAGAGCCCGTATTATAGCAACGTTTTAGTTCACAAAAATGTCGATATATATACTCATAGAAAACACCACCGTGTGTATCCAGTAACCAGTAACGCCAGAATGTGAAAATAACGCACGATTCGTGCAATAAATAATGCAGAATTGTGCAATAAATGGCGGATACCTGACAGGATTTCCTAAGTGAATATCTTCAGTATTTTCAAAGATTAATGTTGCATGTAAAAGTAAATTGTTAAGTTTAAAAAATTCATAATATATGTAGTGTATTCTGATTGGTTAATTATCTCGTGGCCACGACTTAGCTATCTTGTGGCCGCCACTAAATAACTCGTGGCCACGACATAGTATCTCGTGGCCACGACTTAGCTATTTCGTGGTCACGACATAGTATCTCGTGCGCACGAGATAAATCAAAACACAAACATGTCTACCGTACGGCTTGCAGCGAATATCATCTATTTATTGCGAGCATGGGCCGTTTGGTTGAGGTGTATGTTATGGCGCTGTAAGAAGGACGTCATCACATATTTTTGTACTTGATTTCGTTCGTCATCGCAAATAGTGTTATAAACTGCGTTGTCTATTACCACGACAGTGTGTTCCTAAAAGTGGCCGTAAAACAGTGAGGTTACTTTATTTAAAGTAGGGCGGGCAATAAGTTCTCTTTCCAGTCAAAGTATTACATATTATCTTTCATTTTTAAATTCGTAGTGTTTTTTTTTAAATACTGACTTACACTTATCACCTTATTTTACTGTCCCCAGTACATGTTGCTGAGGTTGTAGTTGTTGATGGTGAAGTCGTAGTTGTTGATGGGGGTTGAAGTTGTGGATGGTAGGGTTGTGGTTGTTGAATTTGGATGTTGTTGATGAGGTTGCAGTTGTTGATGCTAAGGTTGTAGTTGTTGATGCTGAGGTTGTAATTTGTTGATGCTGAGGTTGTTATTGTTGATGAAGCTGTAGTTGTTGATGCTGAAGTTGTAGTTGTTGATGAGGCTGTATTTGTTGATTAGCCTGTAGTTATTGGTGAGGCTGTAGTTGTTGATTAGGCTGTAGTTATTGATGCTGAGGTTGTAGTTGTTGATTAGGCTGTAGTTATTGATTAGGCTGTAGTTATTGATTAGGCTGTAGTTGTTGATGAGGCTGTAGTTATTGATTAGGCTGTAGTTGTTGATGAGGCTGTAGTTATTGATTAGGCTGTAGTTGTTGATGAGGCTGTAGTTGTTGATGCTGAGGCTGTAGTTGTTCATGTTGAGGTTGTTGTTGTAGGGCTGTAGTTATTGATTAGGTTGTAGTTATTGATTAGGCTGTAGTTGTTGATGAGGCTGTAGTTGTTGATGAGGCTGTAGTTGTTGATGAGGCTGTAATTGTTGATGAGGCTGTAGTTGTTGATGCTGAGGTTGTAGTTGTTTATTAGGCTGTAGTTGGTTGTTGTTGATAGGATTGTTGATGTGGTTGTAGTTGTTGTAGATATATTGATGAGATTGTAACAGTGGATAATGTGGTTG